GATGCAGAGACTCCGTGGCAGTAGATGCATGTTCCTGGGCCCCCTGCACTGGATGTGATGCTACTCACAACCTGGGCTTGTTTCTAGTCCCCTGCCTCTAGAGCCTTCCCTCCTGGCATGAAGCTGGGAAAGGTCAGGGACAATATGCAGCAGGTTCCTAAATTTCAAGTTTGGTGACTTCTATGTATTCAGGTCTTTTCCTACCACTCATCTACCAAAAGATAGCTACAGGCATGTGGGGAAAGCTCCTGTCTTCTGCACTTTAAATGTTCACAGTCTGCATAAGCACGCGTGGTTTGCACAATGGAGAAGAAAGTAATACTTCCCTGTGTTGGGGACCTGAATTAAATTTTGGGAAACCCACTTAGGATGACTAAGGTTTAGTTTCTGCATATGAAGAGGTAGCTCTGAGATTGGCCCATGTTTGGGATACAGTGCTGTCTCCAGGGGCCGCGATGTGTGATTTAGGAGCAGTGACAAAGGCTCAGGAGTGGGACAGACAGAGCCACCAGCACACCAACAGCACTGCAGGAGGCCAGACAGAATGTGAGGTCAGCACCAAGCTGCCATTCTGATTCATAACATAGGAATTAGTTCTAGCACTGGTGGTAAATTTCATGGTGGTGTTGACAAATTTATATGCAAATAATGTAAAACGTCAGTTGGGAAAACCCCCCCCAGCAAATTCCTATGTCTGAATAGTAATGATAATTAAGAAGACAAAATACTTGTCACACTTTTGGGCATCTGATAACCTGTATGAGGCACAAAGTGTTGACTGAACTCAGACCCCAGCTGGGCTCTGAGGAATGACACAGGCCTGAATCACACAGGGGACTCCACAAAGGGCCTGAATCAACAGTGGAGTCAACACAGGTCCTGAATCACACAGGGGACTCAACACAGCCTGCATCACACAGAGGACTCCACAAAGAGCCTGAATCACACAGTGGAGTCAACACAGGGCCAGAATCACACAGCGGACCCCATACAGGGCCTAAATCACACAGGGGACCCCACACAGGGCCCGAATCACACAAGGGATCCTACACAGGGCCTACATCACACAGGGGACCCCATACAGGGCCTGAATCACACAGGGGACCCCACACAGGGCCTGAATCACACAGGGGACCCCA